AGGATACCGGCATTCCACAAACTAATTATGGACTAACAGAATTGCTGAGTCATGCCCAAACACTTACACGCAACTCACTTTCAGCTAACACCAAGACCACTTAGGACAGGGCACTAACCATTTTCCAGAAATTCGTGTCAGAATTCAACATACAAAATCATTTTCCATAGAGATCATGGTGGCTTTTGCCTCCTTCTGTCACCTACATCTCAAATTATCACACATTAAACTATACCTTACAGGTGTACAACATCACGTTCTCTCCACTTTTCCCAATCACCCGCCTTTTCTGTCCTCTTATCCCATCAATAATATTCTTAAAGATATTAATAAAACAGTCTTCCTACAACCAGTAGACTACCCATAGACGGGCCCATATTCCAGAAACTAAGCGACATATTAGATACCAGCCCCTTCGATTTACAGAGTAATTCAGTCATTAAGGTCGCTATCTTCATCGCCTTATACGGCATCCCTAGACCCAGAGAGTTTACTGTCATACGCCAATCAGATACCAATACAAGCCTGAAAATATCTGACCTGGTTAAACACAAACAACCACTACATTTTATGACTTAAAACTTCTAAAACTGATCCAACTAACCATCCTTCCACAATCTCCCTTTTTCCTACAGGAAATGACTGGTGCCCTGTTAAAATATTAGCCTCTTTTCTAACCATTCGCAACAGACACCCACCTAACTCTCCACTACTACTACTAGGTCACGGACCACCTCTCACCACATCCAAGTTCATTTTCTATGTCAGAACATTGCTGTTGAGACTGGGCTACAACCCCTCTTCCTTTTCCGGACACTTCTTCAGAATAGGAGCAGCCTCTTCAGCGTCTAGTTCAGACACACCAGTCCACATCATCATAAAAATGAGCAGATGGAAGTCATCTGTGTATAACACTTGAACCAGAGCTAAGGAAAGCATTTATGTGTTTAGCCTTATAAGAATGCAATAAAGTGTGTTTCTTCATCATTATTTTGCCCTCTTTTATTACAGGCCTACTCGTTCGTTGTTTTCAGCACAACACCACCAACTTAGTACCTACCACTGTCATGCTTCTGAGCAATTTATGTAGGAGACTTATGCCGAGGTTTAATTTACGTAGCTTATTTGATTTTTCAGGCATGGTTTAGACAAATGTGATAAGAACCAAGAGAGGGGGAACTTCTCTGGTATCTGTGTAAACTGCGCAAAGCAAGTATACTCCCAATGTTGTAATGAATGATCCAAAGAAATATAATTTCGTGGGGAAAAATATATGTGCATACTTGTGACGAGACCAATCTCGCCTCATTGCATTGGAGAAGCCTGGTTGCTCGCCTGCTGCCTTTGGACTATGGCCCCCATGTTAATAGACTTTGTTTCGCCTGCAGAAAAGCTGTATTCGTGCTTTTCTGACGGTTGTTCGGTAGATTCAATCTACTGAACAACCGCACGAATGAATAGACCACCTGGGAGCTGGAGTGTGCCAGCAATAAACCTCCCTGAAGCTGCGGTTAACCGCAGCTTAATTGACAATTACTGGTTGGTCGCGGTTACACCTAGCCGCCACACGATGGCGGTGTTATGGAAGCTCCCCGGGTAGCCAGCGCTTGTTCTACCCAGCGTCAGGACACCAAAAGCAGACACTTTTGTCTTACAAGCCCCGCTGAGGCTGGAAGTCTGCAAACACGTTCGGGAACCGAACAACGGAGTATTCGGGACTTTTAGTGCTGCAATTGTATTCGGTGTGCAAGTACCCAGATAGCGTGCCATGGAGCCTGTTCGTGGAATTAAAGACTTTGGCTCCATGGCGATTAAACTGTATTCGTGTGGTCTGAGCGCCATTCGCTTAATAATGTGCGCTCAGACCTGAGCTATCTGGGGATATGTTAAATGTATAGTTTTAATGTAATGTGTCTTACCTGGTGCATTTTAACAGTAATGCTTGTTTTAGTATCCCCATGTGCATAATGGAGATTTGCCTTTGTCTTGGGAGATAATTTAATTACTTCTCAATTATCTCCCAGGGCAGAGGGGAGGAAGCCAGGATGCATTGTGACTGTGTGTCCTGTTTGTCTGCTTGTCTGTCCCTTGTCACAGTCTCCCATTTGGTCCCTAGGGGAGTGTCCACCAGGTGGGAGACCTGCATAAATACTGGGCAGGTAGCCCTCATTAAAGAGACCACTGCTTGACTCCCAACACGGAGCTCTGTCTCGTCTTTGGGGGGGATTTACTGTATGCTGATAGAGACTGATTGCCAGGAGTGTAAGCCGCTTGGGTGCTTTTCCTGTTCGTCTGCTAGCAGCTATTCGTGAGGTTCCAGTTCGGGTGTTTGGAGCATTCCCTTTTATGCAGTTCGAGTGTTTGGAGCATTCCCTTGTATGCAGTTCGAGTGTTTGGAGCATTCCCTTGTATGCAGTTCGGGTGTTTGGAGCATTCCCTTGTATGCAGTTCAGGTGTTTGGAGTATTCACTTATTGGCGGTTCGTGTGTTTGGTGTTCTGCAGTAGCTGTGCCTGCATCTCTGAAAAGGGGGCCAATCGCCTAAACGGTTTTTACCCCTTGTGTGCAAAACGGTCCGTTACAATACTTAATATAGGGTGTCAGTGAACAATGTGAAAGAGGTGCCTTTTGATGCTGCTCCTTTAGAAGAAAGTATCCCTGCACTTTCTAGTACAAGACAAAGTAACACTGAAAATGGTTAAGGTAGCGCAAAAAATACAGTCTAATCACATGTTGATAATAAACATAAACATTTATTGAATCTTATATGAAGTCTAAAAATATATTTAAAATATAATGACAAAAAACCTTGTACAATAATAATTATTGCTATACTGAGTGTGCACACTACCAAGTAATATAGCAAAAAAAATTAATGAAATATAAGGTAAAATAGAAATATACCTTAAAAATAGAATAAAAAATATGGAAAAAATAAAAAATAAAAATACAAATGAGAGTGGAATGGCAGAAAAAAAAAAAAGTGAAAGTGCCCAGTGAAATGGTGAAAAATTGTGAGAAAACGGAAAACCTGACGCGCGTTTCGGTGCCTAAAACATGCACCTTCGTCAGGGGCCAGAAGCTCACTGGGCACTTTCACTATGTGCAGGTAACCAACATTCTAAGTATGGTTCTGCACACTAATATTTTAATTGCTTTCTAACCTCCTCTTCTGTTCTAATTCCTTACTACTATTTAGTAACTTTGTAGGAGACTGTTCATTATTATTTTTTTTTATATCTACCCAATATAATTAGTCTCCACATAGGATGCTATAATATCAGTTAGAGTGTTACTCCCTTCATTTGAGAGATTTGGCTACTGTTTCCACAGCACACCAATTTAGTACAGAGCTACATACTAGCTATTTTGAAACAAGTGGAGTCCTTTATACACTCGTATTCAAGTTAGATACATTATTTTACTGTAGGTACCACAATATTTATGGCTACAGGCAGTACCTTTAGGAATTAGGAATTTGTATCCGTAAATTTATAGATATTTATCTGACAATCTTTACAGACTTTGACCAATTAAGATGTATTAAAGTCAGTAGCCTGCAGTGTATCGTAGTCACGGTTTAGCATTAGGGAGGTTTTGCCAATTCGGCTTGTTCACACTTTTTTCGTGTTGGGATGACCTGACAGTTTGTTTAAGAGTTTCAATTTATTTATTTTTTTACTCTCTATTTCGCTGACAGCAATATTGTGATTTACTCTGTTATCAGAATGTGATGTCTGATTCATTGAAAACCCCCAAACTTTGTTCTGTAGTCGGCTGCTCATCATACTACGCAGAGTCCCCCCAATATTTGTATATTTGTATTGGCTTTCTTACTCACGAAAACATTTCTTTCAATCAAACGTATTCAAGTAAAACACAATTTATTTATTTACCAACAATTTACTGAAAACGTAGATTCATGAAATGATTTACAATGATATGTGGTTATTTTACAGCAACAGGGTATATGACATTTTATATATACAATCTATCTCAAAGAGGAGGTAAAGGTTTCATTAAATAAATATGTTCCATGGTGCGGTTATTTGAAGAAACATAAAGTAGAAGCCCCTACTTACATATCGTATAATGTTTGGTATTTGTCTCTATTCTATTATGAAATCTAACGTTTACTAATACGTTAATGACAGTGTACACTATCTATGTATATTGTAATGGATGTAGCCAGACACAACTACACATCTACCACCCTTTCCTTTTTAATGTCAAGCTTTACAAGATATCATAGTGGGTGATAGATTATAGCGAGGTTTCAGTAAAATGTATAAATTCCGATGTGGGCTGAGTCTCGGCTGTTTGCTGGTGCCTGAGGGTATTGAGTGGCAGACACGGTCTATCATTCCGAACATCCTCCGTTATTTATATCTCAGTTTCTAAACATTTTCAGAAAATTCCATTGAGAAAGAGACAAAGTACAACAAGTGGTGCAGTCACCATGGAAACAAATGGAATGTTCCTGGTGCTCTTTGTACAAATGTCTTGAAATGTCACAGTTATTAGAAAAACCATACTAATATATTTTTGAAATAATACTGTTTAAAAAACAAAAAAACTAGTTTAATTGCATTTCTCAGAACTGAAGCTCTGCACATTTTACCATCAGGTTTACTATAAGGTACAGATACAGAAAAACAAGTCCTGCGCTAAAACTCCCACGACATTTGGGCGGCAGCAATGACCATAGTACACATCAGCCCCAATACATAGAGTAACAACTAAGGAAAACAGTTACCTGTGCTCTTCCCAAATCCACATGCATGTCTAAACAAATGGAGGCCATTAGATGGAAGCCCACCCGCCACGTCAAGGCAGACCCCCCATTTGTTTAGATGTGTATGGGGATCTGGGAAGAGCACAGGTAACTTCTTTGGTTTTTACTGAGGTACATCATTCACTGTAAGACACAGCCATCTTTGTTTCTTGGTGTTTTCTTCCCTTCTTTGGGCTCCTTGTCCCGTCTTTCATTTCCATACATATCCCCAGACTCAGGTCTTCTGAAATCATTTTCACAATCTCTTTTTTGATGTTCTCTACTCTCTCGCTCCAACTGCTCTAACTCTGCTTCCAGGTCACGTCTTCTTTGTCGCCTTATTTCTTCCTCAGCTGCTTCCTCTTTATCTCGTTGTTCTCGAGTTTCTGATCTCATTCGGGGTCTCTCCATTTCCTGTCTCCTTTTGTTTTCCTCAGTTTGTTTTTGCTCTTTACGTGCTTCTGTTTCCTGGTGTTTTATATATTTAAATATAAAATCTTTCCTTTCCAACATTTCCCATTCTGGATTTCTTGGTTCAGACAATCGAAACTGCACGTCACTAATAACTTCGTGTAGGAACCTCAGGACATCTTCGTGTCTTCCTCGTGTCTTTATGTGATCCTTTGGACTATAATTCTCAAAGGCAAAGATTCGTTCCACCCCAAGATTCCTAAAAATCTTCTCTTTCTCTGCGACATTTCCATATGTTTTTTGGGTGAGAACAACAATAGGAAATATTCCTGCAGAGATAAAACATGTTATCAACAGCTTGTTTTCTGAACATTCAGAGGAGATGGGTTTGCATTACAGCTTGTGTAACTGAGTATTACGTTTCTAAGACAAGAAGAGAAGACATACTATTAAATGCTGACCCTAAGAGCAGAATAGTCTGCATTATAATTTTGTAAAGGAATATTTTTTTATTCTATCTGAAATGTGTAATATAGACAATAATTAAAATGTCTTTTGTTAATTAGTGATGTAATTACTCATTAAGATTAGAATGAGAAAACAAACACATATGGAAGATCTTGATGGGAATTTCTATAGAGTTAGGATTATAAATTGTGTTCCTGTTCCTAATGTTATAGTGCCCGGGAGCCGTTATGTGACCAGCCCCCACACGCAGGAGAAAAAAGTCGTTTTAGTTACATTTCCTCCCTCACAGTGCTGATCTCCGCGATTGGTCCTGCCTCTTTGGCTGTGATCATCAAGATCGAGGATTTCAGCCAATCCGATGCTTTCCCATAACAAAGCTTTGTGAGACTAGTGTGTAAGTGTGGCAAAACACCATCTGACAGAAATAGAGTTTTTCTCCATAATTTTACCTAAAGCGCCTCTATTGGCTGTCAGGCTGACAGTATGTTAGTATGACAGCCCATAGAGGCATGTTAACCCTACAATAGTGTTCTTTTAAATCAAACCCTGAAGCTATATTTATTGCTTAAAGTGTGATTTTTCCATTAGATTCAGAGGATTGAATGAGTGCCTTTTTATGTGTTTTTATCTGAGTGTCTGTGTTGGGGTGTGATTGAGTGCGATGGTGTCTGAAACAAGCGCTTGTGAAGTGGGATATTAGGAGTAAATCATTTGTGTAAAGTCCATACAGAGTATGAATAGGAGTGTGTATACCCCTGTCTTGGTATATGCCTGAACTCCCTATAAGTATATTGCATGGAAATAATGCTCCATGATGTGAATATTCCATTCCGTGGTATACCTGGATGCATCCCATCATCCATGCCAAGCCATCGGAATAGGCTGACTGGGGACATTGAAATACTTTGTGCAGGTTTGATTTCTCTGTGTGTTCGGATGTCTTGTAGTTTATTTAACATATGTGACTGTATAGATATAAAATACAGTATTTCAATAAAATAAAGATTTAACTCATAATTATATACCGAGGACACAGTAAGATAAATAAACTCTTTCATCATTTGTCTAAACGTAATAAGGAGGGTTCATTGATAGCTACACCTGGTAAGAGAGAGGTAGCTGCAATTAGCAAGAAAGGAAGGTATGTTTCATAAGAAGAGATTCACACAATTTCAGGGAAATCAAAGTCAATTTCAAAATTAAGGCAAAAATAGTTAAACTGAAAACATCTAACAGACAATTTATCGATTTTGGTTATTTTGGCTTAGAATCTAAAACCCACTTTGAATTCTCAACAATTCTCTTTTTAGTGAATAATCCTGTAAGAGTCTAGTATTTGCCTAGATCCCTTCACTCCTTTAAATAAATCTGGAATTAACCAGATTAAATTAAATGGAATTAAATGGAATCGTAAATATAACTGTATTTACTTGTGACATCTCTGGCTGTTAAAAGCAAATCCCGGAGTATATGAAGTTCATCAGGAGCAATCGACTTCCTGACGCTGTAAAACAAACATTTAGACAATAACAATATTTAAGAATAAAGTGTGGTAACCAATCTAAATAATAAAATGGGCAGCTACATACAGGTAAGCGATTTTAACAAATTAGTATATTACATTTGAAATGTAGCATGTGCGTTCCAGGTGTAATACATGAATGAATAAAAAAATGAAACAGATGTTTATATAGATAAAAAATAAAAAGTACCTTTAATAGAAGATCGCAACAAAAACAAAGAATATATACTTCCCCTAAAGTAAGAATAATATAACCTCTAAATAAAACACACACAAGTATCAATTGCTAACAAAAGTAGAAACATAATCTTCCAAATGGGGAAAAACTGCAACAGTTACAATTAATATATAAGCAGCATACTGCAGCCCAAAATGGAAAGTTTAGAGAAGGCAGAAAAGATCTATAGTTATTATAGAAAATATATATACAGTAAAATATGCACTGAGTATAAATGATAAATATCTGAATTACCCCACTGATATATCGCTGATACACCAGCGCAAACAGTATCTGACCTCGGGGGGGCCCCCAGACCGAGGTATAACTGCGGAAGATGAATAATGGGTGATAGCTCAGAAGACCAAGTCTCGCAGTGCACTGTGCACCATTTAGATGGATGATTACCAAACTTGCGTTGAGCCTTTGTACAAATGATCATGGAAAGGGTGTGCTGTGGAGGTAGTACCGCGGTCGGAAACTGCCAAAAGACCGCGGCTTCTTGCTGAATGTTTACTGGATGCTCGGCACTCCAAACAGTGAAGGCAAATTAACAGGAAAGAAGGCACAGTGTCTACATATTTCCCCCTTGCCACAGGACTTTCTTAAGACCTTGTGTGGCATACCTAGCCACTTGGACATTATTTCTGTACTGTCTCTTTAAGGGTTGCCGGTATGGGGTTCATGTTGTGTGTTCCAGCGTGTAATGTAATGTAATGTTAATGCTGTATTTCTTATCTGGGCTATCTGCCGAAAGCAGATAGCTGATTCCCTTTCGTTTCACGAACGGCACCTTTCACGATAACAATATTTAAGAATAAAGTGTGGTAACCAATCTAAATAATAAAATGGGCAGCTACATACAGGTAAGCGATTTTAACAAATTAGTATATTACATTTGAAATGTAGCATGTGCGTTCCAGGTGTAATACATGAATGAATAAAAAAATGAAACAGATGTTTATTTAGATAAAAAATAAAAAGTACCTTTAATAGAAGATCGCAACAAAAACAAAGAATATATACTTCCCCTAAAGTAAGAATAATATAACCTCTAAATAAAACACACACAAGTATCAATTGCTAACAAAAGTAGAAACATAATCTTCCAAATGGGGAAAAACTGCAACAGTTACAATTAATATATAAGCAGCATACTGCAGCCCAAAATGGAAAGTTTAGAGAAGGCAGAAAAGATCTATAGTTATTATAGAAAATATATATACAGTAAAATATGCACTGAGTATAAATGATAAATATCTGAATTACCCCACTGATATATCGCTGATACACCAGCGCAAACAGTATCTGACCTCGGGGGGGCCCCCAGACCGAGGTATAACTGCGGAAGATGAATAATGGGTGATAGCTCAGAAGACCAAGTCTCGCAGTGCACTGTGCACCATTTAGATGGATGATTACCAAACTTGCGTTGAGCCTTTGTACAAATGATCATGGAAAGGGTGTGCTGTGGAGGTAGTACCGCGGTCGGAAACTGCCAAAAGACCGCGGCTTCTTGCTGAATGTTTACTGGATGCTCGGCACTCCAAACAGTGAAGGCAAATTAACAGGAAAGAAGGCTCAGTGTCTACATATTTCCCCCTTGCCACAGGACTTTCTTAAGACCTTGTGTGGCATACCTAGCCACTTGGACATTATTTCTGTACTGTCTCTTTAAGGGTTGCCGGTATGGGGTTCATGTTGTGTGTTCCAGCGTGTAATGTAATGTAATGTTAATGCTGTATTTCTTATCTGGGCTATCTGCCGAAAGCAGATAGCTGATTCCCTTTCGTTTCACGAACGGCACCTTTGCGGGCCGTTCGGGAACCGAACAAAACACCTGTTAATAGCCCACACACTTAGAGGCGTGTGGCGTCTATTAACTGATTGCAACAATGTTGCAGTTGGTAATTAGAGGCTCTCCAAGGTGGCCATCGTTCGACTACCGACCATCTTGGATCCTTTGTTCCCTCAGCGGTGTTTGGTCGTCGAGCGCATGGTACTAAAAACGGCTTCTCGACGGCACGAACACTGCTGAGCTTCCAGACCGTTCGGGAGGTCCGGGACATTCGGTATTCTGTTCCCTTATATACAATCAGTATTTTAAAGCTATGTTTTGGTGAATGTGTTTTTCGAAAGACGTTCGGTTGTTTTAGCTGGGATCGGAGCGGTAATCTCACGAATTATGTGCTCAGACCCCAGCTATCTACCGAACGTCCATTCGTTTAAATGAACCAGATATTCATAAAGTTATGGAATTTAATGCAAATTGTAAGTTCTGCTGCACGGAGGGATAATGCACTTAACAGTATATTCCTGTGGGAGGATCCCTCTCGTGCAGCAGTGCCTGATGGGATAAATGCCCTGTATTGTAAGTCCCCCATGTAGTCCCCTCTGGGAATGCCCCTGGGAGGGGACTCAGGAAACCCCTTGCATGGGGACTTGTATAAATTGTGGAGCTGAATTAAAAGACCTCAGTTGACTCCCAGCCTATGTGTCGTCTAGTTCTTGGGAAAGAAGGGTTACTGCAGTGCTGTTGGATTATTGTATGCTGATTCCCCTGGATTATCCTTTGTTGTTCCTGTTACCCGGCAGAGATATCGTGGATTATACTGCCTCTCTGCTACAATTGGTGGCAAGCGACGGGATTGAATCTACACAGCAAAGCAACGTTCGGCAGAATTTAAAGCGAATCAAGGAGCAGCAATTCGGGAATTAGCTCATTCGAATAAACCCCACGAACAGCCGGTGAATGGGAACAAATTATGCCCTGCTAAAATGGAGCACATTAAAGGAGCTGCTAGAAGCAAGAGGA